AAGAGACGCAGCGTCTCGTTCCCTCGGGGAACCATGGTTACATACGTAACCTAGAGACGTTCCCCTTCAGGAACTCGAGCTGCGTCGAGTCGCTTTGGGAACGAGAATACCAACTGCGCCATACTACCAAGTCCCTGCCTGTGTGTGTGTCCTATGAGCACATCACGAAGAGAGAACTTGGGAACCTGGGGTAGAAGCCAGGTCTAGGTTGTAAAAGCGGACAAAAGTGTGTGGAGAGGACCAGCCCGCCACAGCACAAATGTCCTGCAAGGCCACACCCAGGCTGAAAGCCTTGGAGGCCGCCATACTCCTGGTCGAGTGCGCTCTGACCCCCATAGGTGATGGGAGGCCAGAGGACTCGTAGGCTAGTGAGATGGCCTCGACCACCCACCTACCTGTAGTCTGCTTGGTCGCCGGAAATCCCTTCTTTGGCGGACCAAAACAAACAAAAAGCTGATCTGCCTTACGCGACGGGGCAACTCTGTGTGCGTAAGCGTCCAGTGCTCGAACTGGACAGAGCAGATTACGCCTTTCTTGGCCTACTTCCTGGTATGGAGGAGGACAGAATGCCTTAAGTACTATGGGCCCTGGTGAAGAAGTGGGCACCTTAGGGACATACCCGGCCCTCGGGTAAAGGAATGCCCTAACCATGCCTGGAGCGAACTCCAAGCATGAAACAGAGAGTGCCTGAAGATCCCCGATCCTTTTTAGTGAGGAAATAGCGAGGAGAAAGATGGTCTTGAGCCTGAGCAACTTGACTGAACTTCTTCTATGGGTTCAAAGGGGGCATTGCATGAGCCTCCAGAACCACAGCCAGGTCCCATGAGGGGACCTTGGTGCGCTGTACTGGCCTCAGCCTCAGGGTGCCACGGAGGAAACGAGTGGCAAGTGGGTGTCTTCCCAATGATTGACCACCCAGAAGGGCGTGGTAAGCAGCTAAGGCCGCCACGTATACCTTCAGAGTGGAGGGAGATAACCCTGCGGAGAATCGCTCCTGCAGAAACTCCAGAACTGTACCAATTGGGCAGTTGACTGGGTCCTGCAGTCACTGTCCGCACCATGAAGCGAAAAGTTTCCACTTCAAGGCATACTGTTTCCTAGTGGCGGGGGCTCTGGACTGGGGGATAGTCTCAACAACCTCCGTTGAGAGACCAGATGCTAGGAGCTGTGCCCCCTCAGGGGCCATGCCCACAGCTTCCATAACTCCGCCGATTGATGTAGGAGACCACCGATGTGTTGTCTGTGCGGACAAACGCATGATGCCCCCTTAGGTCTGGAAGGAAGTGTGTCAGAGCTCGAAACACGGCCAGCATCTCCAGGCAGTTGATGTGCCAAAGGAGATGATGGCCTTCCCACAGACCCTGGGCAGAACGGCCACTCATGACCGCTCCATAGCCCGTGAGAGAGGCATCCGTCGTTAGCCTTATGCGACAACACGGAGCCCCTAACGTCGGGCCTTGAACCAGGAACCAACGTTTCTTCCACATGTCTAAGGCACGTAAGCATCGCCGCGTGACCTTGATCATGCAAAGCGGATTCCCCCTCGGGGAAAATCCTTTGGTTCTGAGCCACCACTGCAAGGGTCTCATGTACAGCAGGCCAAAAGGTATCATGTTGGACGCCGCTGCCATCAGGCCCAACAGCCTCAGAAACTGTTTGACAGTGAGTGACTGGCCTTCTCTTACTCTCGTGACTGTCGTGAGGATTGACTCGATTCGAGCAGGAGACAGACGTGCCTGCATCGAGGTTGAGTCCCACACCACGCCTAAATAAGTGGTTCTCTGTAGTGGAGAAAGAACACTCTTCTTGGCGTTTAGTCTTAACCCCAGCTCTCTCATATGGGCGAGGACGACATCTCGATGCCGAGCCGCCATCTGCTCCGATTGAGCTAGTATTAACCAATCGTCGATGTAATTGAGTATGTGGATGCCCTGGAGTCGCAGATGAGCCAGAGCAGCATCCACACACTTCGTGAAAGTGCGGGGTGAGAGTGACAGGCCGAAGGGAAGAACTCGATATTGGTATGCTTCGCCCCCGAAAGCAAACCTTAGGAACTTCCAGTGTTGAGGGAGGATGGAAACATGGAAATAAGCGTCTTTAAGATCTATCGTAACAAACCAGTCCTCGAACTGGATTTGAGATAATATCTGCTTGATAGTGAGTATCTTGAACCAAAGCTGTTTGATAGCGCGGTTCAGAAAACGGAGATCTAAGATCGGACGCAACTCCCATCCTTCTTCGGAACGATGAAGTAACGGCTGTAGAACCCGGACACTGAGAGAGAGAGAGAGGCGGAACACGTTCTATGGCCCCCTTCCTCAAGAGAGTATCTACTTCTTGTTCCATTACCAGAGCCTGCTCGGGGCCCACTAGTGTGGGGATGACCCCGTTGAAACAAGGCGGACGAGAACCAAACTGGATTCTGTAACCTTTCTCTACAATCTGCAGGACCCATTTCGAGATATTTGGTAGAAGTTTCCACGCTACCAGAAAATCTACTAAGGGAACCAGCCTCTCGAGACTGGCGTCTGGTATTATTAGAGGAGCCAGTTCGGTGCCCTGAAGCGGATGACCGGCAGGGAACG